CTCTTATGCGTGGTTGTATCTAGGGGTCGGGCCTGAGTCGAGTCTACAGGGTCTAGGTAGACCCGAATGTATTTGGGTCATGGTTTTGGACTCGGACTCGGACCCGACCAGTCGGGTCTTGGGACTATCCGATTAGGTCCCAGATCTAGTTGGGTCTATTGCCACCATCTCTATAAGCTTCTTTTATTCTTTGCCTTTTTTTTGCTATTATATAACCATAATATTGGCAAAAAAGTCACAATCACCTGCCATTAGATTTCAAGCCGTATGATTTGTTGGTTAATAGCTAAAGATGGCTCCAAATTATTATTGTATGTGATCCTTAATACACACAAACAAATAGGGCTTGAAGTATTTTATTTTCAACAATTTACGGGTCAGGAACCGGTACAGGTCGATCCAATTGGACCTGGACACAGACACGGACACGGACCCAGACCCAAACACTGTTCAAGTTTAGGTTTTGCAACCAAACCAGACCAGACCCACGGGTCCAAATGTTGGACCCATACCTAGATCCACCCTTATCAGGTATAACCACCGGGTCCTAGGTCGGGTTCGGGTCCATTGCTACCCCTAGCTACATTTAGGTTTGGCAATGGCCCGGCCAAATGGCCTAAACTATTCATCCCGATCCTAGAAAAGTAGGGTTTGGGCCACAAAATATAGCTTGAGGGCTGAGCTAGGGCCAAGGCTAGCCTAGTTCGGCCTGATCCGACCCTCTTTATTTCATACATTGTTCTTTTAGTCTTTTTTTATTTTCTTTGGACCCAACCTGGTCCAAATAGGGCCAACCCTAAGGGGGCAAGGGCCTCGTCAAGGCCAACTCTGGCCCGACCCATTGCCACCCTTAGTTGCATGCTAATAATAATGTTAGTACCCCCAAAGCCAGACCCCTCTCTCTCCTCTATGGAAAATTTGAAATTTGAAAGCGAAATGATGGTCCTAATTAAGCACTTTTTGAATTTGAAGGGAGAAGGTGAGAGGGGTTAGTGGAGGAAATTCAAAAGGAAGACAACCAAGACACATGAAGGAGAATCTTATGGTGGAGTAGAGACAAAGGAAAGAAGTGAGAAGTAGGATATTACTTTTGAATTTAATAGAGGAAAAGTTTTAAGGTTGGGCTTTGGAAACCCAAAATATATTAAACCCAAGCTTGTGAGTTGCTGGTCTCATTAATATAAGGTTGGGAATTAGGACGAGGCCTTGCTTTTTGGGGTCTACATTTTTGTATTCGTATTGGATTTTGACTTTGGTTTTTTCCAATGTTTGGGAATCGTGAAGACAGCATACCTCGACCCTGTCCGCTTAGTGTGAAATCTAAAAAGAAAACGTATGTCCGCAAACGAGTAATGTTGTGCATTTTTTAAGTGATTGATTGGAGTTAATAAATATATATTTTGCAATATTATTTTGCAAAAAACCTCGACATCCCCAGAATGTCTGCTGCACCACGCATGGGCATGGTACATCCATGAAGAGGAGAGGCAACCTCTCTCTCTCTCATCCTCTCTCTCTCTATAGTCCTCTAAGATATAATAAATTATTAAATTTAAATAAAAATTTACATATTTAGATGTTTGAGCTTCTATATATATCTTGCATCTTTTAACCTTTTTTGTAATTTTCTATTTCGTTTTCTATATTTAGAGGCCTACTTGGGTGAGATAGGTACTTTAGTAAGTTTTATTTTGATTAGAATTCATAGTTAATTTGATACACAAATAAAAATGTTTAACATTAAAAAAATTTCATAATTTACTTTAATGTTTATTCATCATATTTCCTTAGGTTTTCTTTTCTAAATTTCCTTGGTATAGATTTCAAGTAAGGGATACTTCGAAAGGGACACAGATTTTGGTCATTTTTGGATAAATTTTGATCATGAATGCTCGAACGCTTCTCTAAGAGAGAAATTCTAGGAAACAATAGAGTGAAAGAGTCGTGTGATGATAAATTGTAAACTTGTACAATCTTAAAATTTAACTTTGATAAGTATCGTATTTTAGGGGTTAAGAGGAGGTTTGGGGTCATGTCGGTAGCATCCCCACACCTAGCTAACCACATCATGTTATCCATTCCTACCACTGATACGTCTAATTAATACATTCAAAATGTAACTCTCCCAATCTAATGAAAACCAATTAACCCTCCAAAATGTAACTCTCCTAATCTAATGAAAACCAATTAACACCTTCAAAATGTAACTCTTCCAATCTATTGAAAAAATAAGTAGGGGCCTATCTTCCCTATTGAATTACCCAAAAAAAAAAACTCAAACAACAGCCATATATTTAATATTTAAAATCTTATGTATTCATCTTTCACAATCAAGCCCTTTTTTATGAAAACATAAAACTATGTTTTTTTATGTACGTCAAATCAAACTCAAATTTATTATGTCCATACTTCTCACCATCATACATATAAAAAATATAAAAATAATAATTAAAATAATTAATTTACCAAATTATTCATAAATTTTATAGGGGTAATTTGGTAATGTTATTTCTTTTAATTTATAATTTTATTTTCACATTTTTCACTGGTATAAGAAATATCCTATTATTAGGGATATTTAAAAAAATATCTTAAAAGTTTCTTACTTTACAAGAATGTTCATTTTTTCCTGAAATGTCCGAACTTCATGCCCAAGTTATATTCACTCTGAGTCCTGAATTTTATTTTGTGCAGTACCCAAAACAAAGTTCGACACTAAGTACCCAACTTCATTTTGAGCATGCTCAGTGCCAAGTTTGGCACTCCAAGTACCGAACTTTGTTTTGGGCAATGCTAAAAACAAAATGCTCAATAGTTAGAGTGCCGAATTTTATTTTCAACAAGCCCAAAGCTTCGCCACTAACAGTGCCAAACAAAGGGGCACTACAGAAAAAACAAAAAACAAAGTGGAAAAAAAGTAAATAAATAAAAAAGAGAAATCCCCTTGAAATAGACCATTTTTTGGATAATTCTTAAATCTCTCTATAAAAGGAGATGCCTAGTTTACTTTTTGTTCCATTTCGTTCACAATTTTTATTTTTTGAGATATCTTCTAGGCGTTCATGAAAGAGTGGAATGAGAGAGGAAATGCCACAAAAGAGAGTTGACATTTATTTTTAATATTTTAGTAGATGATCTCACATCCCCAGTGCAAGACTTTAGTATCATACATTAAAATAAAAGAATCTTTTTTTACGTTATTCACTCTAAGAATTGAAATTTCCTTGTCATTGTGCATATTATCTATGTCTTTTTGTTGTCTGTTTCATTGCGTTGATGTGTTTCTCCAGCACTTATTTCCTATGGCGTTTATGGAAAAGTTGAATGAGAAAAAATGCCATAAAAGACAATGAATGTATATTTTTTTAAGTTTAGTAGACCTTAGTACTATAAGTCCATATAAAATGTTTAAAAATAAGAAAGGATGCGTTTTGAAAATTGTAGAAGGCAAAAGTGTTCTAGAATCTAGACTTCCAGTACCACTTAAAAAATAAAAAGAAACGACAAGGGCACTTTCGAAACTTTGAGGGAATTAATCGTCATAAATGAGAAAGTTAAGGATGACCACGGGTATGTTATAAATGTTGGGAAAACCAGGCGACGTTTTCCGTTTCAGAATCTTCGGTCGCCGCCGTCAGCGATATTTGACGGAGATAGCGATGATTCGGTCGCTAGCCGTCAGTCGACGTGCTCCACTAATAACGGTTTCCGTCAGTGGACGTACCCGCTTTCGGCCCTATAAAATGTCACTCTGGTGATCGACTCTTGTGCCCCCAAAATTTCACAGTCCAAAGCCAGTTTAATACTCTCGGCAAAAGCAACAATCTGTAAATCTCTCTCTCTACAAGAGGAAGACAGATGTTCTCTCTCTACAAGAGGGAGAAAAAGGTTGTTTTCTCAGAAGTTCCAAGTTGAATAACGCACAAACTGGAAGATCCGTCTCTCTACAAGCTTCACAGTATTGCCAGTGCCCTGCTTCTCTCTCTCTCTACAAGTTCCACAGTATTGCCAGTGCACTGCTCTCTCTCTCTACAAGTTCCACAGTATTTCGACAGTATTGCCAGTGCCCTGCTCTCTCTCTCTCACTATTTGATCTTTGTCTGGTTCTCTAGAAGTTAAGAAGCTGTGATCTCTCTCTCTAATGGAATTATAAGGTGGAAGGCTTGCAGTTTGGGATGGGGTGGAAAGAGCCGAAGCAGAGCGAGAGAGTAAAAGCAGTCCTTCAGATACTGAAAAAACACGGTCCACTCACTGTGAAGCAGGTTTCCTACTCTCCTCTCTTTCTCTCACTAAAACTCCACTCACTATTCTGAGAACTCTCATCTCCAATCTGATATTTTCCGATTGACTTTACCATCTCTGGAATCTCGGTCTTGAAATGATGCAGAAACAGATTTTCTCTTATTATTTTCACTGTAAATCTTGCTCACCTTTGAATTATTTTGAAGTCCTCGCTAAATGCATTCTGTGTTCAAAATTTTATAACAAATTACTGTATATATTATCTATGTTTCTTTAATTTATAATCTAAAATGCTTTGGGTTGGATGATTTCAGTTTTCAATGTGTGATCTCATGTCACTGAACTTGTTTTTGCTGAAGCTTTAGAAGCATTTCACAGTGCTTTTCCATGACATATCTTCAGCGTTTTGAGATTCGTGGAACAATAAAGAAGCGAAGCTTCAAAAATAGAATGTACTTGCTCTCTGTATTAATGGCTTTGTACTCGTGGACAGGAGAAGTTCTGTAACGATACATGTATAGAACGGTTTCTAAAAGCGAAAGGCGATAGTGTGAAGAAGGCGGCGAAGCAGTTAAAGGCCTGCCTCGCTTGGAGAGAAAGTATTGGCACAGGTACCATCGCCGTTTAAGCTTTTTTCATGGATATTACTTTCTGAGCTTTTATTAGAGAGAGAGAACCGTTAAAATAGAAAAAGAGAGAAAAAGCAAAAGGTTTCCTCCTCAGAATCATGGTCTTTGCAGTTGTAAAAGCTACACAGTGATTCTCTTCTCCGCTTTTCTTGAGAAAAAAATTTATTTATTCAAAGAATGAAATCTTCAATCTTCCAAACACTTTGATAAAACCTGAAAATATCGATCTCTTCTGACTTAATTTGCATCACTCTGTGGAAAAACAGATCATTTAACAGCAGATGAATTCTCAGCCGAGTTAGCAGAGGGAGCTGCTTATGTTGCTGGTCAAGATGAAGAAGGGCGACCTGTTATGGTAAAATTAAAAAGGAAAAAAAATAATAAAAGAAGTTTTTTCATTTTCAGAAGCAGAGGAAACAGAGGATTAATTTGACTGTTGTTTATTTGTTTAGGTTTTCAGGATTAAGCAGGATCATCAGAAACTCCACGCCCAGAAAAGGTAAGCGAAGAAGCTTCCCATTGGGAAGTTTTTCTGATACGAATGGTACTTCCATTTTAGTGTTTTCCGACTGGTTTTAATGGCGGATACTGGTTTCTGAAACTCTTCAGATATATTCGTTTGCTGGTGTTCACATTGGAGGTGGCTATTGCATCAATGTCGAAAAACGTTGAACAGTTTGTTCTTCTCTTTGATGCTGGTAAGCTCACTGTGATTTCTCCTTTCCCCTCTCCATTTTCTGAGAATTTAAACTCTCACATCCCCCATTTTTTACGCACCGACTCCTTCTGTTCTACAATGGAATATTCTCGTGATTCCCGTAAGATTACTCCCTGGATCGTGGCGCAGTGCGGTTGGGCTTATAAGATAAATGGTCAAGCAGGCGTGGTGTATTTTGAAAAGGGTTCAAAAACTTCACATCTGATCCAAAAGTACCAAACCCCCCTAAATTATCGAAGCCTTGTGTCTTTTCGTGGCAGAAAAATCAGTCCAAGAGAGAGAAGCGTAGAAGAAAAGTCAATTATTTACCCTTCTAGAGAGACATCCGGGTGAGATTTTAGAGAGAGAGTGTGTGGTTTTAGAGAGAGAGAGGTAGGGTTTTGTTTTTTTGGGATCGTGACAAAGCGAGAGAGACGTAAGAAGTTCAATTATGTATTTATTAGAGGAAATTTCTATAGGTCATGGGCTTTATGTAAACAAAATAAAGCCTCACCTCAAATCCCATTTTGGAAAGCATTTTCAGTATTGGAAATTCACGTGATCGCTTTAAAATTAATTTCCAATTCGTATAATTAAATTTGAAATTAAAAAAAATAGTACAAATCTTGCGGATCTGTACCATTTATTTTTAGAGCTAAATGGATGGTCCGGATGATTTATTGCAATATATATTATTTTTAGAATTTAAAATCCAATTTTTTTTCACAACCATAATATTCAAGTTGAGATGATCTATTTAAATGCATTAAAAAGAAAGAGATGATCTATTCATCTGTTTTTCTACATGAAGTACAATTTTTGATGAGATATGAGGTGGGGCTTATCAAACCATTTTCCTTATTATTATACCTTATTACGGCATGTGAGAAGTGGTGGCATGTTGCTCTGAATTATTCTCTGTTATCGAATTATTAATAATATATATTCAAACTTGTATTCCTCTGAGTGCTGTTGTTCTGACAAGGGGACAGGAGCAGGGAGCTTCATCCCTCTATTGTTGATATGATTATGAGATAAGAGAAACATGAATGGCGTGGTTGGGGTTTTTTTTTTTTGCAGGCTTTTTCAGATCGGCATCGACGTACCTGAATTTATTGCTGGCCACGCTCAAGATACTGTCCGACCACTACCCTGCTCGCCTCGCCAAGGCATTTGTCGTTGATCCTCCGACCCTCTTCTCCTATCTATGGAAGGTACTTTTTTACCATTTTGACCTTTTACTCTCCTCTTCAATGACGAAATGGCCCACCACATCTCAGCTGTTCGTTCCTTTCATTATTATCATTGCGGGATAGGGCCTAAAGCAAAGCCAAGGGAATTGCCACTTGCCCCTTGAAATGAATAATGTGAATAAAAACTTTACATTATTTGGCACTATGTATTTAAAATTTAAAATTAAAATTTTAGCTATTTGGCACTATGTATTTTTTTATGGGTATTTTAAAATTAAATAAAAAAATATTGATAAAATGCCAAATTGTTTATATCTCGTTTGCGAAATTGGGTGAAATTTTAAATAGTTCATCTTCGGTTATTTAGATGATTTTTCTTTTTATTAATTTTAAAATATAGGATATGGATAACAGCCAAGGGTGTTCCTTTCCTTGTCATATCAGGGATTCCGAGGTTTAATATGATGACGTTGGTCTCTTATGTATTAATAACTATTAAAACGAGATATGCAGTTTTGGAAACCTTTTATCTATTTTGGAAAAGTATATAAAGAAATCATTTAATTTTAAAACAAAGAGTTTATATTCATTATCGTCCATCAGATTTCAAATAAGGTAGTTTTGAAAGTGTAATTCACTATACTCAAAATCTCTCGTACCATTTGGTCACTTCCCAAACTATCTAATTTTACATTTAACGAACAATAGCTAGTATGACCCCCTTGCAACAAATAATGGTCTCATAATATAAAATCCCTTATATTTTTTTAAAGGGGCGACTTTAATGTTCTTGCGCCAATAACTTAAAATTTTTGTAGTGGAACATGCTACGCAATTCAAATCTTATATAACATCACCAATGACTGTAACTGTCATGTCACAACAACAGGGTTCACGTCCCTTCGTTGACCTGTGGACTCAAACAGCGATCATCTCCTCCGATGATTTTGAAGAAGACGACTCCTTCACCTCCCTCCCAACCCGCGCGTCCTCATTCCGATTTTGCCCTCCTTCCTCCACCGCGGCTGCCATCGCTACCCCGAACCGCCTCGGCGCTTGCCACTCCTCGCGCTTCTCGTTCACTGTCTCCCCTCTCTACTCCTCCCCCTCCATCAAACCATGGTACCTCGACACCGTCGGATCCAAGCGGGATCATGCCACGTCTCTCGGCCCAGCTCTGGTCTCACCTCTCAATGCACGATCGTTTTCCTTTGCTTCACCTGCCGCACGTGGGAAGCCACTGGCACAAGAGTTGAAGAGGGGATTTATTAATCCCATACCTAATCATATTAACAACAATAAGCATTCCTTTTTTACTTCTCCAAAAATTGCAGCTTTTTTCAAGAAAGAGGTCTCACAAGGTGGTGGGGCAAAGGAGGAGGGTTTTGAGAAGTTTTTGAGGCATTACAGGGCGCCATACAATGAGGTGGCGTACAGGTCCAAGATGAAGCCACCACTTGGAGGCCTTATTTCCATTGTTGCCCCTGGCCTTAGACGAAGGCAGTTCTCTTTCTCACCCCATTATAGGTGCTGAATTTTTAATTTCAAGGTCAATGTTTTTTCTTGCTTTTCTTTCTCTCTCTATCTCTCTCTCAATTTTTTTGTTTTTAGGGAATTGCTTTTTTGTATCTAAAGAGTGGAAGTGCGGTGGAGAGGCTTTTAATGTTTTTTGTCTTAAACTATGGTTAGTTTGTATAGTGGAGGAATAATGAGTTTTGGGAATTTTCCTTTTTTTTTTCGGATTACATTATGTGTGCATGGACTTGTGGAATATGGGAAGTGGGAAGAAACTGGTTTGAGTTTGGGGGATTTGATTATCGGCGGAAATCTAAATGTTTTTCTTGTGGAATATATTAGTGAGCTTTTTGTATATTTTTTTAAAAAAATTAAAAATAATATAATATATTTCTGTTCACATTTATGTCCCACTTTTTATCAGGAATATCTTATTTTAATTTATTTTTCAATATATCTGATTAAGCTCAAATTTTGATCCTATGTATCTTTTACCAAACGCAATTAAGAAAGCATTTAAATATATAATTAGGTTATAAATGACAAAAGACCCTTACAAAATTCAAAATTTAGGTGTATTTTTATCATTTCATTTATTTTGAAAAAATTTATATTTTTTAATGGAGTGAGATAATGTGAAGTATGAAGTCCCCAAATTTATGCTAAATCCAATGCATAGAAAATAAAATAAAATTAAAATACAAAATTCACTCTTAAAAACCGGGACTTGAGTGTAAACTTTAAAATATATCGAAATATTTCTAAATTCAAATAATAAAATTGGATTTTTCCATATTTACATAAAACTTTCGATGGTGATGTTCAAAATGTTTAAGCAGGAGTTCAATGCCATTCAGTAGAAATTTTAGGGATTTGTTATGCGTTTACCACTTTGTTGTCATGAACTATTACTGAATTTCGTGTGAAATAATCGCCTAGTTAATGCAACACCAATCTAGAGCGTTTAAATCCAAAATATGGGAGAAGTTAGTGCAACATTACTTCTGCGCATGGTTGTTAATGCTACAAAGCTAGTTTCTTGAACTCCTAAGTTACATTTGGGAAGGAAAACACGCATTGCGCAGAGTAAATCAGGCTTCTTAAATGTCCCTAACTACTTGGTTTTTCTTTTTCTTTTTTTAATTGTTTTTAGAAAATATCTATTAATCCATCATGATATCACTAAAGGGATTACATGATCACTATTTACATTTGGGTATTTGCTTTGAAAATTCTACTTCAACCAAGTGCCTCTTTAAGAAGTACCTCAAATTTTCCGGATTGGGAAACCCAAAAATTGGGGACATCTTCATAAATTTTCTCCGAAATGGGCCTTAATGGAATGACAAAAGTATCCCTTCAGGTATAAATTTAAATTTATCAAAATTCCCCAATTGTTAGGGCTTCCTCTACTCAACCCCGAATAAAAGCAATTTGGAAATTTTTAAAGTATTTTTATGAGCTACCTAATTGAAACAAAAATCTAAAAACAAATCCTCAAATGTAAATTTTAATCATTTGACCTCTTTAGTGAAAGGGTTTCAATCCCTTAATTGATATTTTTTATGTTCTTTTTATAGTGTAGCCATAAGAATCAAACTTGAGACATAGAGTTGCAAACGTTAACAGCTAACTCAAGTACAAACACATTTCCCCCTATGTCCCCAACTCCACTTATGTCCCCAACTCCATTTGATACCATTTTTCATGTATGAATTATGCATGGAGAAAACATATTATTTATTTCTTCCACAAAATCGGCACGAGCTCTTTCTCTCCCTTCGATGTTAATAGTTCAAAATATCAGAAGAGTAATGATCTTATGAGACCTTTCCAAACCCATGTGTGTAGGATCCCAAATAGTCACCATTAAATTTGGCACAGATCTCTAGAAAAGTTATCACATGGGTGTGAGACTTACCTTTTCTATATCTTATGAGACCCTCCCACAGTCATATGTATAAGACTCTAATGGATCATCATTAAATTTGACACAAATCTTTAAAAAAGTTAAGAAAAACTCCTCTCAGATTTTGCATACCCCTATAGTAACATTTCCATTTTATCTTTGAGGCTTTCTTTGCAAAGTCAAACCTTTCAATGAAACCAAGGAATTTTGGATACAAGAGTAGAAATTTCAAGTCAATGTACCCCCTAATGCACATTAAATAAAAAAAAAAAATCTAGGCCTAAGCAATTATTTATGAAACTTTAGGGCTAAATTCAATGCTTTATGTAGGTTCCCAAAGTTGTATTGAACTCCAAGAAAGAAGCCTATTGACCAACAAGAAAGAAAATTGTGTTCTTGGAGATGGGTTTGACACGAGAGAGTGGGAAATGACAACAACTCAACGAAAGAGAAGACAAAGATGTCTTGCTTAACGTGTGAAAAAAAACAGTTCGATTTTCTATTAAGGTATTTTAATTACATTTTTTATTAATGCATTTTAGTCAATGCCCAAAATTAGAGAAAGAGTGGGATTTTGAGTCCTTTCGAAGGTTAAGGGCGTTAATTGAACCTTGAGAAATGAATGGGTTGTAAACGAGGGGAGAATGGTGTTGGGTTTGGGAAGTAAGTAGCGTACGATTGAAGCAATAGTACAAAATGGCCGACACCCATAAAAGCGAGAATTATGGGGAAATTCAAAGTGGAAGTTTGGAACCACCTTAACCCTTGGAACTTAAAAGAGAGAGTGTTTTACGGAAGTGATGGCTCCTCCTCCCTCTCTCACACACAAACAACATATTCAATAGGAAAGGGACTAGGTCTAGGTCGTGGGGGTAGCACCCCAAATATTTAATTACCACATTGTGGTTTTTAATCCATAAAAAAATGGTTAGGGGGATGTATTCTCTATTGATTTACCTAAAACAAATTCAATTATTTTAGGGAAAATATTTTTAAAAATGAAATCCCTTGTTCCATCGTTAAAAGGTCAAAAGATTGCAAATTATATTTGAATGTATGTTTTTAAATTTGTATATCAATAAGGTACTTCCTCAAAAAAAAATATTGAAAATTTTGCCACTATTTGGTTTTAAGTCATAACGATTAGGGGTACCTTGAAAACACTCCCAAAGAGGTCCTTGTGTCATTCATGTAAGGCCTTTTAGGAGTCAAATCGCCAAATTACCCCTAATTTTGTGGCTTCCCACTACCAAACAACCGCAATTTGGGATTTTAAAATTTTTTTGAGAAAGTACCTGCTTGATACATAAATTTAAAAATATACTTTCAAATGTAATTTGTAATATTTTGACCTTTTTTTAATGACATTACAAGGGGTTTCAACCCTTTTATGATATTTTCACATTATTTTAAGATCTCTCTCTCCTGAACACACAAATATTTTATATGAAAATTTACTTATAGGGGTCAAAAGATTGCAAATTATATTTGAATGTATGTTTTAAAATTTCAATATCAATTAGGTACTTCCTCGAAAAAAAAATTGAAAATTTTGCCACTATTTGGTTTTAAGTCGGAACGATTAAGGGTACTTTGAAAATTTTACATTCCCAAAGAGGTACATCTGTCATTCATGTGAGGCCTTTTTGTAGTAAAATCGCCAAAATACCCCTAATTTTGTGGCTTCTCAATACCAAACAACATAAATTAGGGATTTTTAAATTTTTTGCGAAAGTACCTGATTGATACATAAATTTAAAAATACACCCTCAAATGTAATTTAATATTTTGACACCTTTTAATGACATTACAAGGGGTTTCAACCCTTTTCTGATATTTTCACATTATTAAATAGGAAAGGGTCTGGGTCTAGGTCGTGGTGGTAGCACCCCAAATATTTAGTTACCACATTGTGGTTTCTAATCCGTAAAAAAATGGGTAGGGACATGTATTCTCCATTGATTCACCTAAAAACAATTCAATTATTTTAGGGAAAATATTTTAAAAAATGAAATCCCTTGTAATATTATAAAATATATTTGAATGTATGTTTTTAAATTTCTATATCAATAAGATACTCCTCAAAAAAGAAATATTGAAAAATTTACCACTATTTGGTTTTAAGTCATAACGATTAGGAGTACCTTGAAAATTTTGCACTCCCAAAGAGGTACTTGAATCATTCATGTAAGGCTTTTTAGGAGTAAAATCGCCAAAATACCCCTAATTTTGTGACTTCCCAATACCAAACAACATCAATTTGGGATTTTTAAATTTTATTGAGAAAGTACTTGATTGATACATACCTTCAAATGTAATTTGTAATATTTTGAACCTTTTTAATGACATTGCAAGGGGTTTCAACCCTTTTGTGATATTTTCACATTATTTTAATATCTCTCTTTCCCAAAGACAAATATTTTACATGAAAATTTACTTATAGGGGTCAAAAGATTGCAAATTATATTTGAATGTATGTTTTAAAATTTCTATATCAATCAAGTACTTCCTTAAAAAAATAATATTGAAAAAATTGCCACTGTTTGGTTTTAAGTTGGAACGATTAAGGGTACTTTGAAAATTTTACATTCCCATATAGGTACTTCTGTCATTCAGGTGAGGCCTTTTTGTAGTAGAATTGTCAAAAATACCCTAATTTTGTGGCTTCTCAATACCAAACAACATAAATTTGGGACTTTTTAATTTTTTGGAAAAAGTACCTGATTGATACAGAAATTTAAAATATACCCTCAAATGTACTTTGTAATATTTTGACACTTTTTAATGATATTACAAGGTGTTTCAACCCTTTTTTGATACTTTCACATTATTCAATAGGAAAGGGATTGGGTCTAGGTCGTGGTGGTAGGACCCCAAATATTTAGTTACCACGTTGTGGTTTCTAATGCATTAAAAAATGGGTAGGGGCATGTATTCTCCATTGATTCACCTAAACAAAATTCAATTATTTTAGGGAAAATATTTTTAAAAATGAAATCTCTTGTAATATCATTAAAGGGTCAAAGATTGCAAATTATATTTGAATGTATGTTTTTAAATTATTATATCAATAAGGTACTTCCTCAAAAAAAAAAATTGAAAATTTTGCCACTGTGGTTGTAAGTCATAACGATTAGGGGTACCTTGAAAATTTTACACTCCCAAAGTGGTACTTGTGTCATTCATGTAAGGCCTTTTAGGAGTCAAATCGCCAAAATACCCCTAATTTTGTGGCTTCCCAATAACAAACAACATCAATTTGGGATTTTCAAATTTTTTTGAGAAAGTATCTGATTGATACATAAATTTAAAAATATACATTTAAATGTAATTTGTAATATTTTGACCCTTTTTAATGACATTGCAAGGGGTTTCAACCCTTTTGTGATAT